GCGAGTAAAACCTTGAAAGCTCGCGAGATCAGGATCGTCTCATGAGGCTAGACAAAAGCAGCTGCCTTATTCAAATTCTCCCATTTGAAACTACATCATTTAATATTTTTTTTCCCTGATATTAAAATCTGATGATTTAAAACATAAAGATAATCTTTCAGAAATACTTTAATCAACTAAAACTTTAAATTAGATATCTATGTGCTCAAAATCATTGAGTTTTCTTTTTCCTATTCTGTTTGCTTAGCTATAAGAAGGTAAAAAAAGAAAAAAAAAAAGATGTCCAGTGATTAAAAAGGATGAGCAGCAGCAGCAGGTAAAATAGGAAAAGCAACTGTAAAACAAATAGCACCCCCATTCCTTTAAGACATGTTAAAGGAGGCAGATATAAAACATGGGCACAGTTCTAACCTACATGCTGCAGAAACTTTTAGAAATCTTCAGCTTGCCCCATATTTTTTAAGTCATTATGATTTCCTTTATGACATTAAACACGTGTCCCTCTATTTCTGAATGGTCTGGCTTTGATTAGGCTGTTAGGGACGAGGTAAATGTCTTCATGAGCTCGGAGCTTAATGAGGGTGTAGATGGAGAGGAAAAAGGGGGACTCAGTGGAGAAGGAATGAGTCAGAATGACACCCACTGTGATTTAAGAACACCACGTCCACCCGAGAGGTTTGTTATTGCTTAGCAACAAACTAATCACCCCCTCAAATAACAATCATGAATTTATTCCCCCGACATAAACGTAACGACCCCTTTGGCAGAGCAGGGAAGGAAAACAACATGTTGAGAAAACAGGCGTGGGCTCCTTTGGAGAAGCATTATAATATGTTTGGTTTATGCTAACCTCTTAGCCGTCTGTTCGTCCATCACCAGCGAGATGTAGCCCTCAATCAGGGAGAAGGAGAAGAAGCGGATGTGACTGGAGTCCTCGCCGGACGCTGCGACCTCTTTAGACCTGGATAAGAAACAGAAACCCTCAGGGACTGGTTCCTCTAATGGTCACATTCAGGCCACTGTCATCTAGTTTGATCTCAGATTACAAACCTGAATGAATATAT